GGCTCTTTACTAACTCCTCACTCAGTTGGTCTTTGTAAAACTAAAAGATAGTTTGATGTGTAAATTGTACTGATTTAAACAGTCACTCTGTAGCATCAGCACTTCCCCTTTAGTTCTGACAACCCCAGAGTTAGGACTCCATTCCACATATAGCACTGCTTCGGCAGAAGATAGTAAATGAGATCCAGGCTACCTACTGTCATGCTTGGGCAGGCTCAGGTTCTACAGTTTAGTGGAATAGTTCATAGGGAAAGAAAGAGCTTTGGTTGGCTTATTTTCATTTGCTGGACTGCGCCTTTGCGGGGATAAGATGCTGCGGGTTCTGATGGTGTCCAGTTTGTCAGATCTTCCAGTGGGTTTGGTTTTACTGTTACATATAAGGATCTTTGCCTAGCCCAAGAACAAAGATTTTTTTTTTTGTGCTTTTGCAGAGTATTGATTCAGATTCACTTTGTTTATTTATTTTTTATCATGGCCATGCATTGTTGGTGAATTTTCATTTCCCTTGTATTAAGGTATTTAAAGATAACTCTGGGTCACTGGGTAGATAGGAATTTCAGTACTCAAAGAAAGGATAGAATAAATAGTCTTTGCAGAAATGGTTTGGAAGTTGTTTAATGGACAACAGTCTTCATGAGTAATGAGCAACCATGGTTATGGGGGAGATCAATTGTTACTCTATTGCAGTATTTAAGATACATAGTTTTAAATGAAGTACAAAGAATCCAGGAAACTATGAACTACTCACAGGAGGAAAAGAAATAGAAACTCCCCACTAAAGGCCCAGAAACACTTTGAAGTAACTGTCTTAAACACTCAAATTTCTTTAAGAAACCTTGGGCCACAAAAGAAGAAACCAAAATAAATGAACAAGCATACACTAAAAGAATTCTGGAGGACAACATGCTCAGAAAATACGACAGAGCAGTAAAGATAAATTACAAAGAGGAAGCAAGGGACAATTCTAGAACTAAAAAGTATAATCTCTGAAATAATCTCTAGACAGTTCAATAGGAGATTGAGCAAATGTGGAGTTATGTGAGAATATCCTTTTAATGGAGAAGTGGGGGACGGGCAGACCTGAAGGATCTGTGGGTTACCATGAAGTGTATACCTAAACACATGCACATATCCAGGCGAGCACAGGGAATGTCAGACAAGGATAAATACCCCCGGATTCCGATGCAAGGCATAAATCTGCATGTCTAAATAGCACAAAGTGGAAACTGATTTACAGTCAGGAGACTGGAAGGTTCCTAGGAGATCTGGGTACCCTTTAAGTTCTTGGTGGTGCTTGTTTAGAAGTGTCACTGTTCTTACATGGTCCTTCTGTGTGTCTTATCCCCAAATCTCCTTTTTCTCAAAAGGATACCAACCATTGATTTAGTGTCCTCTTAATGTCCAGTATTATCTCAACTTGAAATCATTTCCATCTTATTTCCCCCTCCACCCCCCAAAAAACAGTAACAGGGTAATTTTCACAAATCTTTTGGGAGGAAATGATTCAGTTATTGTGGATCTGTTAGCCACAGAGATCTTGTTTGTGGTTTTCTGTGCATGTTGTTTTCATCTCTGTGAATCGTAGTTTTATAGGATATAAGGCATTCCAAATTCTGTTATCCCACTGCAGCCCCAGCTCCTGGTTCAGCCGTATTTCTAGGTTACCTTGTAGTGATGAGGCCTCTCCTCCTGCTCTCCAGATTTTCTCCTTGCCTTTGGCTTTGGGACATTTTAACTGGTCTGTGTGTCTCTTTATTGTGTTGTAAATTAAATTTGTTGTGCTTTTCTAGATATGAAGGCCCATTTTCTAAAAATAAACAAATAAATAAATAAAATTTGGGAAGTTTCTAGCCATGTCTTCAGATATTTTTGTACTCTGATCCTTTGTACCCTTCTTCTGGTATGTCTTTTGTGTTTATATTCATGAGATAGTGATGGTCCAGATTTTCTGCAGTAGTGGTCATTTAATGTTACTCTTTATTTTACCAGCTTGAATCTGCTTTTATGACTGTTGTAAATGGATTTTGTTTGTTTGAGGCAGAGTCTCACACTGTAACCCTGGCTGTCCTATATCTTGGGCTGATCTCATTTACTGCAGTCTACCTGCCTCAGCTTCCTAAGTGAGTGCTAGTGTTACATGTGAGTTACCATGCCTGGTTTCTGCAGTGTATGCACCTGCAAGCACGCAGGTCAGAGAACAACTTGCAAAATTTTTTTTCTCCCCTCCACCTTTTTGTGGCTTCTGGGGCCTTGAACTCTGGTCTTCAGGCCCATTGACAAGGACCTTTACCCCTGCTGAGCCATCTTGCCAGCCCTCCTGTTATTTTTAATTTCAAGATTTATTTGCTGTGGCATTGCTTCCTTCTAGTTGAACATAAATATCTGTGATAGCTACTTAAATGTTTTATGAACCTCTCATAAGTAGTTTCTGCTGCCTGCTTGCTCCCATCCCATGTATGAAGGGTTATATGTCTGCTGTGCCATAAGACTTTCCCTGGAGAGAGGAAAAATTCTCTCTCTCTCTCTCTCTCTCTCTCTCTCTCTCTCTCTCTCTCTCACACACACACACACACACACACACACACACACACACACACACGCCTATTTACCTCAGAAAAGAAAATCACAACAGATCAAAGTACGGATACCACCAAAATCCAGTTTGGTGAACAACTGAGTTTAATGGGGATATGTTTACTTACAGGGATATGAATGAGAAGTTTCTTATAGGAGCAGACATGATTCAATAGACAGCTTTTTCACTAAAGCCCACCCCACCCATCCTGGGTGATAGCCCACAAAAGCTGAACACCTGGAGCTCACAGCCTTCAGGCAGCTCCGTATGTTGGAAAGTGTTGGTCTAAACCTTTTCTGGGTATCTGGTCTGGTGTGATTTCAAGATTCTTTTCAGCTTGGCTGGTCTGAGAATCTTTGCAATTTGACTTTGAAGCCTGAGAGTGACTCTCAGCAGTCTTTGTTGTTTACTCCTGAGAGGGAGGGGCTGTGAATCTGATCAGTTGTAGAGACTTTCTGAAGCAATTTTGAGTTACTTACCTTTGGCTTAAGGATTTTCCCTGCAGGATGGACTATTTCAGTCTTGAGGAAACTGCTACCCAACACTGGCTTGTAGCAACCCTCCCCGCTTTCTTTTCTTCCTGGAAATGGGCATTTGAGGCAATACCTTGGAGTGGCTGTGGGTGCTGGTTTCCCTACTACTTCTCTCTAGGTTTCTTACTGTTATGTGCTTGTTGATTCCTTTGCTGACTGCCTGTCATCCCCCAGCTGTGAAGCTTCTGTTTCCCTCTTCAGCAGGGATATCTGGGCTAAGTGTCCCACAAGTGGGTCTTGGTGTGGGAGAAGGGTTCCTTCCCCTGATAGGCCCCTACAGCTGAGCCTCAGCAGCAGGTAGGTTGGGGGTGGGATGAAAGATACCAGAGGTTCTAGCCCTTAGTGAGAGAACCAGGAACAACGAGCTCGGTGGTTTTGGGGGTCTTTTGCTGCTGCAGCTTTGAACAAACACACAGTGAATTTCTATAATATGTCTTTCCATTTGGTACTTGTCCTTAGATTCTTCTCAGTGACTTTATATAGTCACTTTTTAAAATCAGGTTTTGTTTATTTTGGCTTTGGTTTTTTTCAAGACAGGGTCTTACTATTATAGCCTTGGCTGTTCTGGAACTTGAACTATGTAGACTCATAGAGAACTACTTGCCTCTGCCTCCCAAATCCTGGGATTAAAAGTGTGCACCACTACACCCAGCTAAAACGTTTTTTATTTATCAGGAGTCCAGTCTGGGTAAAGGTTGATATGATTGATGGTTTTGTTAGAACCTTAGTGGTTAATTTTCCAGTCTGAGCTAGAGAAGTGCCCTAGGCAATAGGAATTTGTGTCACCCAAGTGTTCTGGGCCTGGGTGGACTCTCTGAACAAACCAACTGCTGCCTCTTTCTTTGCAATGTCCTCTCACCCAACCCAACATGTCACGTGAAAACTAATTCAGTTCTTAGTGTTTCCTCACAAAATAACTATCAGGTTTCTCTCCTATTATAAAAAACTTACTGTCAAATTTAAACTTCCAGCAAATTTGTGAGTTAAATAATAGATTGATTTTACAAAAAAAAAAAAGGGAGGCTGTATTTCTGATGCTTTTCTGAGATACCTCAGTGTTGATATGTGAGCTGTGGTGTGTGTGTGTGTGTGTGTGTGTGTGTATGTGTGTGTGTGTGTAATATGCACTTAAGACTTCATATGAAGCAAAACACCCACTGCTGCCTTCTGTTCTGATTTATGCCTTAGTGGGCAAACTTTGGATATACCAAGTTAAAAACAATACAGTTAAATTTTTTTTGTTGGGTTTTTGAGACAAGGTTTCTCTGTGTAGCTTTGGAGCCTGTCCTGGGACTGCCTCTGTAGACCAGGCTGGTGTAGAATTCACAGAGATCCGTCTGCCTCTGCCTCCCGAGTTCTGGGATTAAATGCGTACACCACCACTGTCCCCCCAAAATTTTTGTCCCTTTAGGTTTGACTTTTTTTTTTACTTTTTTTAATAAAATGTGATCAATAAATAGAAAAATTTTATGTAGCTTACATTATATTTCTGTTACTTAGAAAAATGTGAAGGCTGAAAAATTATTACAGGAGGTCTT